AAAAACCCTTGATTCGAGTCGGTGACGAGGGTTTGCCGAATAGAGGATCGAACGAAAGAGAATAGAGATCGATCGGGCTGGACCGCTGTTCGACGAAGGAATAAACCGAGGTAGTGAACGATGTCGGAGAAACGTGGCCGATGAAAGTGCGAAGAGGATGTGAAACGATGGACATCGAAGGAATACGATCGTCGAACTTGTGAAAATATAATATAGGCAAAAGACAAAGTGCGCGGGAAATCGAGAGACTTTTCTGGTAGTAAGGTTCGAAGAGAGCTGTCTGCGGGAAATCGAGCTCGGTACGAGAAAGTAGAAGAGATGTCGGATATCGTGGAAGACGACAAACGGAGCGAAGCTTCCCCGAAACCGTCTCAATTAACTCCCTTCAGTATCGCCGATATCCTGAGTAGAAGAACCTCGTACACGGAACGACGACCTTCGGAGTCGGAAGAAGCGCAAGCTGTAGCGTCGTTCGCGAAGAAATCCCATCAACGCGACTACGATTGTTTGGAGAACGGCCACAGGGAAACTCGATCGGAGGATCGTAATCAGATGGCCAGATTCTCGAGGCTACCTTCGCCGGATCTCAACGTGGCCCGCGAACTCGACATCCTGACGAGAAACCTGGTCCACGCGAATATCTCCAACTTTGGAAATATTCCACACTTGGCTCAGGGAACGTTCAAGCATCTGGAGAGCCTGGGCAACATGGGTGGTTATCAGCCGGTGAAGGATTCGAGGGATTCTTCGCAGAGGCAACAGGACGAGGCGTTGGACATGAGCAAGAACAAATATTTGGGTGAGCGTTGATAACCGTAACGATACCGATCTCCGTCGAACGATTCTTAACCGTGAGAACGAAAGCTGGCCGTCCAATCTCTACGGCCGGATCGACTCGTTTCCGCGCGAACTCGTAGAGAATTTGCGAAACGAAAAGTCGTTTAAATTTTCCACGTCGTATGTTCTCTCGGTCTCTAACGACGGGTTAACCGGAGGTAAAATTACGAGGTCTGCGATCGGCTCGCTCCGTCTATCGATGACCCGATAGCCTGATAGAACTGAATGAACCGGAGGAGAGTAGGGAGTCGGGTCCACTTAGAGTGAAAATCCCGAGGCCGCTTCCCTTCTGGGTGATCGTGTGTCTGCCACGAGGATGCGGACTTAAGAGATCATTTAGGTCTCCGGTATCCTTGTAACAGGCGAGCTTTCAAGGGTTTTTTAAGTTAACCCGAGCGCAGATAACGTGATCGAATGTAATTTTAGTAGCATAAGTGGTGCTCGACCACGGCAGACGTCACAAGTGGCCGGCCACTCTGCTTCTTGCACTTGTTCGATCTCTGGCCACACTGTTGCTCTGTCTTGGATCCTCGATGATCCGTGGATCACGGTAAAAAACAAATTTAGATCAAGGTTACCTAGATCGATCCTAAAGAAATCGCTTTTTCTACCGTTCGCTTCGACTTCTTCATCCTTCGAGACTCGTCGTCGTCGAATACGTCCGACGACCCGAGAGCGTCAGCGATTCGCCAACATTTTGCGTAATCGAAATACAGCGAGATAACGAGAGACCGGTAATTAAGTAATTCCTGCCTAAAGCTGTTTCGTACGCGACGATTGCTCGCTCGTTCGCCGCTCGAGAGGGTTGGAGAGGAGCAGGCACGACCTGGCACCGTTTCAAGTCTCACTCACGAAATTACGGAGTCCCCTGATTTCCGCCACCATGCTTTCGAATCACTTAATACGGTAATGGATAGGATGTTCTTCTGGCACTTTCTTAACCGAACCTCGTCCCAAGCAAAACAACTCCACCCCCTTCGATGTTAATATTAAACCGTCGAATCGCGTCGGACGTACACGCAGCAGCTTATTCCAGTCATCCTCGATACCTTCCGATATCTTTCGATACCCACGATTGTAAATCTTTAGCGCAAGACGATCGAGTTTGTCGCGTATTACGAGACGCGAGAAGCTCGTAATACAACGAACTCTCGTGTCTCGTTTCACTCGTCGCGAGAGTCGAGTTTGTGCAAAGAATTCGTCGAAATGTCCGCGTCTACGATTCGCCGGGCAAAATGGGGATATAACGTTTCGTTTGATCGAGGTTTAACGTGACCATATCAATTTATTTGAAAACGATGAGCGGCCGCTTCGGAGAAGGTGCACACGAAGGGTCATCTCTCGATGTAATCGGAGTGAGAGCAAACGGCACTTGCTGCTCTCGAACACTCACGATGTGGGACGCGTAGGAGATGTTTGACGAGCGTCAGAGGAGGGACGCATTAGCCGGACGAGATGGCACAGAGTTGACGTCGAAAGTGATCAAATATAGATCTCTCTAAATGCTTCGAGTCCCCCCATCGGCCAGACTACTGCCGATAAACATTGACGCAGGACCCGGGCTACGGACGAAATAATTATGATGTCACACGAAACTGATTTTTCAGTCTGTATTTTTCTCCGAGATTTCAGGCTTATCTCTTTTCTTCGTCTTGGCTCGTTTCGACGTTCGTTCCACGTTCGCCGGATACATCGGAACGGTGTTTTATTCCTCGAGCAACGTACGACTTCTTCCGTATTCCACCGCTGCTTCGTTTCTCCGTTTCCATTTTCTCGGTCTTTCCACAGCGACCGATGAAAATCGGTGCAAATTACTCGGTACGATCGGTCGGCTATGCGCGTAACGATCTTAAGGGACCAACTGCCAGCTGGAAAAGCTACGCGAAAGAAGTTCCAATCTCTGGAAACTCGTCTTACGAGTAGAAACAATCTCATCGATCGAATCTTAACTTTGACGATTCGGAGAAAATTTGTATCGCCTAATTTATCTACCTAGCTCTTCCTCCTAATCGTTATTTTCGATCTGATCCTCGACCGTATCGTATCCCGCTATACTTTCACCCTCGTACCGTACGCTCAATGTCTCCTTTGTCTACACCCCTTTGCCCTAAAGTGCATTTTCAACGCAATCGTCAAAACGCGCAACACCCCGCTGATAAATGACAAAACTGCCGAAAGAAAGCCGCTTCAAGGTAGCGCATAAAATCCAACAATAGCCCGAATTCCCAGCTAAAAGTTTATTCTTTGGCTCGAAGCTCGAGAAACAGAATGACCGTCGGCAAGGGAGCAGAATTTTCGTGGTGCCGAGGGGAACGCGATTGCACTCCATTGCAACCGGTTAAACTTAGAGGAGAATTACCGTGGAACAGCAGCGTAAACATGTCGGAGTAGCGAGTGCACGTGTTAATGTTTGAACGAGACATCAAAAGCTGGCGGAACTCTCTCCGATCGTTTGCCGCTTCTATGGCTGCTGTCCGTGGATGGTTACTCGTTCGTTTCTCTATCCAACGTTTCCTCTCTCTCTCTCTCTCTCTCTCTCTCTCTCTCTCTCTCTCTCTCTCTCTCTCTCTCTCTCTCTCTCTCTCTCTCTCTCTCTCTCTCTCTCTCTCTCTCTCTCTCTCTCTCTCTCTCTCTCTCTCTCTCTCTCTCTCTCTCTCTCTCTCTCTCTCTCTCTCTCTCTCTCTCTCTCTCTCTCTCTCTCTCTCTCTCTCTCTCTCTCTCTCTCTCTCTCTCTCTCTCTCTCTCTCTCTCTCTCTCTCTCTCTCTCTCTCTCTCTCTCTCTCTCTCTCTCTCTCTCTCTCTCTCTCTCTCTCTCTCTCTCTCTCTCTCTCTCTCTCTCTCTCTCTCTCTCTCTCTCTCTCTCTCTCTCTCTCTCTCTCTCTCTCTCTCTCTCTCTCTCTCTCTCTCTCTCTCTCTCTCTCTCTCTCTCTCTCTCTCTCTCTCTCTCTCTCTCTCTCTCTCTCTCTCTCTCTCTCTCTCTCTCTCTCTCTCTCTCTCTCTCTCTCTCTCTCTCTCTCTCTCTCTTCTCTCGTCGTTGTGTAGTGGAAACGTTTGATTTATGATCGCGATAGATCATCCTTTCCCGATCCACGCGTTTGTTTACACGCAAATTTGGAGAAGCTCCATCGTGAATTTCTGTCTGTAACTCGAGTTTGTTTCTAACTAGAACGATCAACCGGCCGATATCCTCGCGAATATCCTCGAGTTCGATGATCATCGTCGCACAGGTTTTTAACGCTTGTGATTTTGCAGAGGACGGGGAGGAAGACATGTTCGAGGCGCAGAATCACGGACAGAATCTGCAGAGCAGGAAGAAACGTAGCAGGGCGGCCTTCTCTCACGCCCAGGTTTACGAATTGGAGAGAAGATTCGCGGCGCAGAAATACTTGTCGGGGCCCGAGCGAGCGGACCTTGCGCGAGGACTCAAGCTGACCGAGACTCAAGTCAAGATTTGGTTCCAAAACAGACGGTACGATGATACGGCGTAGTCGATAGACCCTGGATATTTATGCATTTATGATCAATTTAACGGGTGCGAGTAATACGCGCTCGTTGAACCGCTTAAAAGGACGAAACAAGTCGCTATTTAGGTAGAAACGTGAATTTGCATAAACATCCGTGGTCGAACGGTTGATTTCTCGTCTTTCAACGCGAATCGTTCGTTCCATTCTACTCTGTCGCGAAAGCGAACATTCGCGACCGATTCGAATCGGACAAATACGAATTCCAGTATCATAGAATGTTAATTAATTTGCAATTTGTCGACGGTCCAGGTACAAGACCAAAAGACGACAGCAGCAGGAGCTAGGCGCGCTGGTTAATTCCGGAAACGCGAGGCGCGTGGCGGTACGAGTGCTCGTGCATCCGGACGAGCATCTGAGGGGATTGCCACTTCGTGGTTCCGGGCAACTTCCCGGGCAAATGTCAGCCCCGCAAATTCATCCGGCGAACAAAGCGCTCGGCGGTTTCCCGTACTACTGTCTCCCCTATCATCCCTTGCTATGCCCGCCCCTTCACTCCACTCACATTCAGGTGCAAAACACGATCGCGCCGGACCTCGACCCGAGCCAGCTGGCGAAACTCAACGACGAGAAATAAAGCGAAAATTTCGCCATTTCGCTAGGATCGAGAACGAGAGTGTCGTTGGTTGATCGATTTGGTGAACCGCGGCTCCGAGCTACCGCCAAGTCGTCCAGCGTTCATCGTGCACACCTATCGCGTTATCTCTACCGAATCAAAGTTTCCAAAGAAGTTTTAGATCGTGTAATTCTCGGATCGCGATCAAACTAGTCCGTTTCAAAGTGCTCGATTCTCTCGCTACCTTTTCTTTTTTTTTTTTATCGATATTCCACTTGATCGGCGAAAGAATAGATCCACGGAAGGCTGTTTTACGACGGTTACTGGTTTTTGTAGCTGTACTTATCGTTCGCTTCGTACAGTCTTAGTCCGGTCATCGTTAAACCAGTCTACGTTCCGACGTTCTATGCGAATCGAAAAATGTCGTCGACTGAATCAGACTACACACGGACGTTAAACGTACCTCGATTGCAATGTAAATTTAAATAGCCGACGTTCTCATTCTCTCCGAATGGATACGAGGCAACGACGCTCGTAATTACAGTCACTCGCACTACCTATTACGAAGTAATGGTTGATGGTTGATAAATGAGCACGTTATCGATTAATCCACGTAGTGTCCGAGAAATTTACTGTACGCGTTAATTATAAATTTTCTTATAGATATATCAGAGTCTAGGACGAAGGTCAATGTAAATTAGCGTGTAAATAACTGTATAAAATGGAATCTCGAACGGCATCGGTGAGTGGAGTATTTATTTATTCTGAAGCCGCACGTGACGATAGAAATCTATCGCTCTATACGGCTGTCACGGAAACCACGATTAATATCATTTGATAGTTATACCTCCAAATTCCACCAACTTCCTTTTAGCGTTCGAACGTGTCGCTGTATTCTGTTTTGTTACTTTGTTTGTACTTAACCAACGTAATTTCCTCGATATCGGAACTGCGTCAAACGCTGTTAAATTTATAAATTTTTCGATGGAGAGAGAGAGAGAGTGTGTGTGCGTGTGCGTGCGCGCGTGTGTGGGTGTGAGAGAGAGAGAGAGAGAGAAGGAGGCAGAGAGTTCAACAAAAGAGGAAATAAAGTAGAAACATTTAAGAAACAAGCACGTGCAATAAAGTCGATCGACACACCGATTAATTATAGTCACCGTAATGTAAGACGCGCGTCGAGCCAACGCTCCGATTGTTTCTGCGTACGTACATATGTGATCACACAGATCTATTCGAAATATACGTGGTTCATTAAAAAGAGAGAATAAGCGTGTCTTCTTGTCTGCAACACCCTCCTTGACGAGTCACTCTCTCGAATGTCTACACGTCGAAGCTCCATGAGATCGTAAAAACTCGACGTGCTTGACCCGAGACATCTTCCAAAGAAGTAGCTCCTTTTTTCTGGGCCGCTGCTTGCGATCTCGTTTATGCTCGTACGTTCCTGAGAGCAGCGTTAAAACGTCGGCATTTTTTTACTCCTTGCACGAGGGCCCGCAGTTAACCGTTTAATCGTTGGAAAAATAAAGAAACATTAGAAACGATTTACTCCTCGAAACGAAAGTTCTTTTTACGATTCTCAAAGTCGCTGGAGGACAATGTGGAGAATCTTTTGCACGAATCGGACAGTCCTGTCAAAAGCGTAGAATCGTCGACAGCCATACGGAGGAAGCTCGAGTTTTGTCGGTTCTAACAGACGTATAATTGGAAATCGCATCGGAGAGGTTTCACGAGCAAACGGTACGCGTATCCGGCTTGACCGGCTTGACCAGAGCGGTTCGGTAACTCGATACCGGTAACGAGAACGGAACGAGCGTCGATCGAACTGCGCTCGCGAAAAATCACCGCGCTATCAGCCCTCGAATGGAAGGGACTTTCCCATAAGAATTTTAATAGCTTCGTCTGGGTGGGCCCGACAGACATCAGATATGTTTATTCAGACGCGGAGACGAGCAGACTTAACCGACGGACGAAGGAAAAAAGCTAGATCTGACACTCATCTGTTATAAACAAAGGAGTTACATTATCCTGCTGCAAAGGGTCTTTGCGGCTCGTTCTCCTCGATCAGCACGAAAATGGAGTGGATGTTCAAAGGCAAAACGCCGCTACTGTGCCGGGTACGATTTTGAAAGCTGTTACCCGCGAATGCTTCTTGCGTTATTTTGGAAAATCGTAGAATCAAAGCGAGACTACGCAACATTTTTCCACGAAAGAAGCACGAGCTTAACTCGCTCGAGTCTTTCCTTCGCGAATCGCGACTAAAACTCGAACAATCGCGCGTGCAGCGATCAAATCGAAACAAGGGTCCTGTCGCGTAACACCGTGCCTTTACGCCTTTTTTTTCGAACGAACAGCCAACACCGAGCCGACGGCGACCATCGTAAAACAGAGAGAAAAGAACGGAAGGAATTTCGCTGCAATTAAATCGTCCAGTCGCGAGACCATCAATGACAAAGTTGACTCGCAGCAACGACTCGGGATCGGTTCGTAAGATGGATTTTATAGTCGTTTCTGCAGTCCATTACTGCTACGTTTATATAGTCTTCTAAACATTCGAAAGCCATAATGCTCTCGCGTTAAACGAAGCCTTGTGCTGACACGCGATCGTAACTAGTGGCCCCAACTATTCGGGATTACTTGTGGTTTCCATTAAGAAATTAACGCGGTCTATTGTATCGGTCGGAATAATCAACCTTCGAGACGGTCCAAATCGAATGACCTATTTTTGATGTTGCTCGTTTCGATTTTCGAGGGAAACGCGCCACGAGAATATTCCGCGATATACGTTACGCAACGCATCGCCGACTAAACTTCGTTATTCGTGCGATCTTTTTCCGAGCTTCCGCGGTAAATGCGAAAGATACCGTGAAATTTCGAGAGACGTTTATCGAGAGGAGCAAAGTACTCCGCGTTACTCGACGCGACGAAGAAAAGGGTAGCGTGTTATCGCGAACGCCACGGAAGCTCGAAACAATTCGCAACATTCTGGGAAAGAACAACAAATATTCTTCCTACGAAGCACGTGTATACTTACGTCGAATTCTACCACGAACTCGAAACGACTGTTCAAATTCCTCGATTCACAGCCTCGGAAATAGAGAGGAGACTTAAAAACAAGATCGCCATTCTACGCGAGATCGTGCTGCACCAAATTCTGCAAGAATCACAACTCGCGATCATCCTCGGCTTCTCTCGACTCGCAAATTCCACGATACGGATTAACGTCGACTCTCGCGTTAGTCGTACGAGATTCTGTACGATTGTTCGACGGAGGCCGAGGACTGGAGCACTTCGCTCCGGAATTTCCTTGATCCGCTATAGAGTAGAACGAGCGAACGAGTGAAATGTAAAGAGAGAGGGAGAGAGAGAGAGAAAGAGAGAGAGAGAGAGAGAGAGAGAGAGAGTAGGAGAGAGAGAGAAACAGGACGAGAAGAGCACTGGGATTCGAAACAGGAGTACGTCGTCGATCTAACGACACCGGTGGCGGACTTCTCTCTCCCGAAACAAGAAAGGGACGATTTGACGCTCAATCAACCGACGAAAGCTAATTTTCATTAGCTGTTAATAGCGCTGAACGGTCTTCCGGCTGTCCGACCGTGCGCCGCGCGGCCCCTTTTCACCCCTTTCAACCCCTTTCCCTGGCCTCCGTTCCGACGTTTTCGACCGTCTGCGAACCAAGTAGTCGAGACTCTCCGCGTCGAGGTTAATTCGGAAAGACGCAAACCGTTTTAAAAATATCACCGTCGCGAGTTCGTTAGCGCCGGAGGCGGAGGGTAATTAGACTTGCTGCGAGCAGATCGCGCGAGACGAGTACCAGCGTGAGAAGAATACCGTTTCGTTATCCGGTACCGGTATCGTCGAAGATAACGGCCGACCGTACATTTTCGTTGCAACGAAATGGAAGCTCAGAGTTCGGTTAGCAACGATTTTCAAAGGGTTTCACGAGGGAGGACGGTACAGCGAGAATTTATTTGGCTAGATGGTAGCTATTATCAATTTCATACGAACCATTTCAGGACGGAACAGAAAATTGCGCTTTTTTGCGCGGACGAGCAAGCCGCCTCTTACAATAGCCACGAAACCGAAATTTAAAAGTATAATCGACCTGTGCAATCCCTGCGAAATACTTTTCATCGGGCTCGGCCAATCCTTTCTCGCGTTCGATTACCTTTTTACGTAGCGCGAGAAATCGTCGTAAACCGAAAGATATCGAACGATATTTACCGATCGATCGAACAATCGCGTAAAAAGCGAGCTTCCTTGAGCTAACGACTACTTTACAACGACCTAATAAAGATGTTTCTGGACCGTCCTCGTAATTTGTACGGAGAATAGGGGAACTTGTCACCGCGTTTCCAGCGCACTCGACGAAAAGGAATCGCAGTCCCCTTTAACCTCTTCAATAGTCCGCGTGACACTCCGGTTCCTGGGTTTCCTTGGCAACCGTCCCGATTGAAACGCGTGTCACAAGTCACGAGGTCTGTGTGTAAGAGAGATGAAAAAAGGAAGGCGAGAGGCCGCGGCCGGAGAGACGACAAGTGGCGGCAGAAAATCTCAAACTTCGAACCGGCAATTCCATTCGCCTTATGAGCAGGCCGCGTGTCTGAATAAAAATCAGCCTCGCCTCC